ACTCATCCACATGGCTGACACTGACAAAGGTTCTACAATCTGAGGTACAGGATCTCAGGATAAATCCTGAGGGGATTTCACTGACCTTATCAGACTTACCTTTGAATCTTAGCAAAAGAAACAGTGGTGGCCCCAAGGAGTTACTAAAACGTAGCTGCGGTCGATTACTTTCTACGAGTGGTATTTTTCAATTGATACATATTGCCAGCAAGAAAGATTCATTTTCATTTTTATGGCCTATTTTATGGTTTTGTTTTATTTTGTAAGAAAAGTGTCTTAATTAAAGAATTTGGAAAGAAAAAATCATCAGCCGAATAGGTACAATATCTTCTTGAAATTTTATACATCTGGGTCTGATGTGGGTGCTGTACTTTGAAAATTTCATCAGAAAATGGTTCTCGCAAATGATCTTTGTACGTGACTTACAGATTACCAGCGAAGGTTCAGTTAATTTCTGCGATTGGCTGCTTTTTAATAGAGAATGCACTTACTGTACTTTCTTACATACTTACATACTCACTACTTTTCCTTTTTACCATTCTCATGACAGCAGATTGTTTAGTGAAATCTTTAATCCTAGAAAATAGTATCTTTATTAAAAGAATAAGGAAAACTTGTTAAAAGGAGTGCATTTTCATTTTACTTTTTGTACATTTTTCATGTCTAGTATGAAAAATAGTCCCTCTTTCATTCAGCCTCTTTAAAAAAACTATGTAAATTGAATGTACCCATAACTTTTTAAATTTATGAAATAGCTACAAACTTTATTAATGACAAACATGATGTACTCTTTTTAAAAAGATTCATAGATTCTATATTAGTAGGAATTCTTTTACTACTTAACATTTTGAAGTCAGAAGTGTTTATTTTTGTTTTTCTTTCTTTTTCTTTGTTTCCCTGATGTCTAATAGGAAAAGTGCAAGGAATTTCAATCTGCCAATGTGCAAAGCTGCAGAAACCACAGTGGTGGAGGTAAGAGAAGAGGTTATTTCCAAATTGCTGTTAGTTTTTTTTAACCTTGATGTTATCAATTAGTTCAAAGAAAAGTATAACAGTCTTTGTTTGTGGATGACAATGACAGCTTTTTTTGTTTTGAATATGGAGAGACACTATTTAAATACATAATTTAAATGCATTAAAATATTTGGTGTTATAGCACTTCTTGAACAATACGAAACTCACTAGCATATTTCTCTGGAAATTTGAGCAGGGACCAACTTATAAAATTCCTTGGCTTTATTTAATTTATTTTATTTATTTATTTATTTTGGCAGAACCGGGGATTGAACTCAGGTCCTCACACTTGCCAGAGAAGTGCTTATTCCCCTGAGCCATATCCCCAGCCCCTGAAATTCCTTGGTTTTAAAATAAAATCATTATAAGCCCCCAGATAAATTTATGTATGGTCATATATCACGTGACTGGGATACAATCTAAGAAATATATTTTTGAACAATTTCATCATTTTGCATACATTGTAGAGCCATTTTCTATTTTTTATTTTAACTTGCTTTTGGTGTTGATTCCTATAAATTTCTTATGGTAGGTAACTTTATCACTAACATCATTAGTGATGACATTCCTTCCCTAAGAAATGTCTATTCTTCGGAGATGTCTTCTAGGTGTCACTGGCTATTGTTCTTTGTGTCTGTCCCATGTTTTGACTCTCCAAGGGGTAGTCTTTTTTTTAAGGCAGATACAGAGATTTTTGTTTAACTTGTTTTACTTTTTTTTTCCATAATTTTATTGAGACAAATAGCAATGAGACAGTTTCAAATCAAATTGGTAGGACAGTTTCAATAATTAACACATTGTATACTGACTTCCTAGTGGTTATTTGCTTTAACTTGTTTTTCTGTCTGCAGCTTTTTTTTTTTTTTCTTTTTTTTTGCTGGTTGTTCTGATTGTCGTCTTGGCATTGAAAAAACCAGCATCTCCTGATTCTCCTGATTCATAGCCCAGTTGAATTCATTAAGTCTTCTCTCGGACAGTGTTCACTCTATTAAATGCCCTCTTGATTCTTAGAGCTTTTCATATATTTCCCTACACACTGTACTGGCTGTCCCCTCCAATACTGCAGGATCTTAAGGAGTTGGAACTGTTACAGTGACACATCTCACATTGTAGACAAAGAATGTTTGGTCTAGAACTCTTCCTCATCTCCTTTCTCTTACAGATGAACACACTGAAGGTTTTTGGTAGGAGCATCTGGGGTGCAGTGTATGTCTGGAACGTTTTTGCCAGTATCTTCCATTCCACAGTGCAGCATCTTTTCAGCCCTTCTCCCTGTTTATTTTAGTTCTAAATTGAGTTTTAAGGAGGATAGAATTATAAATATTTAAAATATGAATGATTTCCGTAGACATCTTACATTTCTTCGGGACTTAGATGCAGGATGGCAAGGAACATCCAAGCCACTTACTATATATTTTTGCTTATATGTATGTTTAAATTGTATAGCAATTAATTTACAAAATGTGTTTTAGGTCAAAAAAGAAACCAATATATTTATAGCAGGTGAAAAGGAGAAAATCAAATCTGCTTTGGCTATCAGTTATTTCTGCTTTCTATAAGTGGGGAACATGACTCCTTTTAATAAGATTTTCCCTTTCTGATATGTTCTAAATAAACTGATGTGCTATAAAACACCACAGTGGTGACCAATGATATGTTTTCAGCAAAATCAGTATAAACGTTGTGTCTTTCTAAAAGCCTTCAGCCATTTGCATGCCTCTCCACAAAGCTGTGATCTCATCAGTGCTGGTTCTGTCTCTCACCTGCCCTTTAGGAAATGGGTGTTTCCTGGGGAAGAGCGGTACAAGTGGGTGTGTGAGGTGGCACACGTGCTGGAGGGGTGCTTCCCTCCTTAGCCTAGGTGGTGCTATTTCCGGAGCTCCTTCTCTGAGTGGGTGAAGTCTCCCCTGATAAACTTAACAAATTTAGGAGCAAACCTAGCCAAGAATGACTCGTGAGTATTATATTATACACATAAAATGAGGAGCAGCCAGGACTGTTGAATCTTGTGAAGGGAACTCATGTGGCTCTTTCTCCGGAGGAATCTTGTTAACCTCCTGACTCTCCATGAGCCCTTGTGATAGTCTCCTTTGTGCATAGTCCACTGTCTTGGGTTTCTCTGGAAAGTGGCCTGTTTTTACATGTTTTTGAGGAACTTTATGTTAGGAAACCTAGGAGGAAGACCTACAATACTTCACTCAAGAAACTGTAAATGATTTGTCCCCTGCCAGCATATCAGCATGCACATGCTGTCAGAAAAGGTCATCTGACTCAGCCACTGAAGCTGCCTGTGATGAAAATAACCCAGCTTCTTTGGTTTTCTTCGTGCTATCAGACTTGTGCCATGTCTTGTGCTGCAAGTCAGAAAAGGTTGTCTAGTGCACCTTCTACCATTTTAGTTAATTTTAGTTTTTAGTTAAAATAAGCATATTTATGATCATGAGCTAAATAAAATTATTTGACATAATTACCTATGAAAAATTATATTGTGTGATGTTTGATGTACACATGTTTATATGTAGCCTGGATCCACCTAATGTAAGAATTAGCCTGCTTCCTGTCTAGATATAATAATTATTAGGAAGATCATGTCTATCAGCCTTTTTTTTTTTTAATTCTGGATCAAAAATGTTCTAACTAGGGGGTTTGCAGGTTAGCTCAGTTGTTTAAAGCGTCTGCTTGGGCCAACTCAGTCGTCAGGCATGGGGGACTGCAGTTCGATCCCCTGCTCCACTGCCTTACAGACCCGCCCTTAAGGCAGCCTGAGCCAGCGGGGGGTAAGGGGGATCCTTCTCAACTTTAAGGGCCAGACTCATAACTCAGTAGACTAAAGTGCCTGCTTAGGCAGAGCGCAGTGGCCAGGGTTCAATCCCGGTGCCTACCCGCCAGCCCCGTCCCCGGGGTGCACTGAGACTGCGATGGAGATGGGGTAGAGACTGGGCTTGGTGCTCACCCCAGTAATCTCAGCGCTTAGGAGGGTGAAAACAGGAGAATCACCAGGAGTCTGATCTATGTAATGAGATCCTGTAGACCCTGAATGAAAGAAAAAAAAAGAATG